CCCCAGCCAGCATGCTGGCTGGGGAATTCTGGGAGTTGAAGTCCACACATCTTAAAGTTGCTAAATCTGAAAAACATGGGTGTAATGGGTCTGAAATGGTACTAAGAACCAGGAGATTCTGAATTCACATCTCACCTCTGGTCCACATGCACTAGAATATATCACGTCAGCCTAACTCACTTCATCCTAAGCCATAACGTGGCTTCTCTGAGTCCCCCTTAGTGTGTTGTCTAAATCCAGCCATGATAATACAGTTTAGAAGCATGGTTAACTATAACAAGCAAGCCATGGCTTAGTATTACATGTGAATCCAGCCAATACTTCTTATTGAGGCCAGAAGGCTCCGTTATTCATGTTAATGATCAATGGACTTTGTTCAGAGTTACTCTGCCTTTACACATTTCTCTGGTTAGGTGTGCACACCATGATATGCCATGAGTAACTAATCAAGCTTCAAAACCCATACAACATAGTGACCCATTAACTAACCACACCAGAGAGGTACACACTCACACCAACCCCCAAATTAGTCAACTACATTTTGGCCAAACTTGATGCGTTTGTGCAGCTTCTATTTCACAACAGCAAAGCTGTCAAACACAAAGAACTGTCAAGGGCCAAGATCAAGGGCTGGAAAATAACTAGGAACTCAGTCAATTGGATACAGAGTCCAAAGCTGGGCCAGAAGGAATCTAGGGTTCAAGAGGCAGAGGTTCAGCAAGTCAAAAGAAACCCGATTCATCCATCAGAGATTGGTAGACAGACATTAGGGAGGAATTGCTTCTCAAGAGCTGATGAAGTTGGAGCTCTAAGAACCCCACCCAAGTTCCAGCTGCCAGCTATTAGGTTACCTGAAATAAATTCTTCCTCATGAGAAGGGCCCCTACATCCAAGTAAGCCTTGACTCACATGTAGACCTGCTTCTTAGTTATCTGTTCATTTCCTGGTCTGAACTCAACTGCCAGCCTGCCTGTGTGTCTTGACTGCATAAAGGCAGGCTGTTCTTTCCATATTATGTGATGCTTTTACTATCTTGTGGTGGTCTGAACCTGGGATTGTAACTCCAGAGTTCCAGGAATCTGACTGGGGGCAAATTTGTAGCCACCTCAAGCTCTGATGATTCAGCTTCAACTTTAGCTGAGGATTCTTAGGCAAGATGTGGCACTTTAAGTACCCTCTCTCTTTCTCTCCCTCTATTTCTTCCTAGGTGATCTAAACTCCTTGAGCTATCCAACCATTATCATGTCCATCCTCTTTGGTATCATTTGCCTTGTGGGCATCATTGGCAACAGCCTGGTGATCTGTGCTGTCTTTAAGAAATCCAGCCCAGGCAGCAGCGTACCTGATATCTTCATTGTCAATCTTTCCTTGGTGGACCTCCTGTTCCTCCTGGGTATGCCCTTCCTCATCCATCAGCTGCTGGGCAAAGGAACCTGGAAGTTTGGAGAAACCATGTGCACCATCATTACTGCCTTGGATGCCAACAGCCAGTTCACCAGCATTTACATCCTCACTGCCATGTCCATTGACCGCTATCTGGCTACTGTGCATCCTTTCTCCTCCACCCGCTTCAGGAAGCCCCCAGTGGCCATCTTGGCCATCTGTATGCTCTGGGCCCTCTCCTTTCTCAGCATCACTCCAGTCTGGATGTACACACAGCTCATTCCCCTGCCAGGAGAGCTGCTGGGTTGTGGGATTCATCTGCCAGATCCTCAGCGGGACATCTACTGGTATACTCTCTACCAGTTCTTCCTTGCTTTCGCCATCCCTTTTGCTCTCATCACAGTGGCCTATCAGAGAATCCTCCTGAAGATGGCCAGGTCCTCTGAAGCACTGACCAGACAAAGAGGCACCCAACTCCGGATCAAAAGGGTGACCCGCATCGCCATTGCCATCTGCCTGGCCTTCTTCGTGTGCTGGGCCCCGTTCCATGTCCTACAGCTAGTGCAACTGGCTGTCCAGCCCACCTTACCTTTCTATTATGCCTACAATGTGGCAATCAGCCTGGGTTATGCCAACAGCTCCCTTAACCCATTCATCTACATCTTTCTTGGGCAGAATTCCCACCGAAGAATCACGGTCTCTGACAAACCCGCAGATGCAGAGGGACTTTTTCAAAACCAAGTCAAAAATGCCCCAGGAGAACCCAGTGAATCTGGGCAACCTTTGTTGCATTTGGTCTCTGTCTTAGCCAGATAGAGATGACAAATGGACTTGTTTGCCACCCATGGGTGCATTAACTCCAGGGACATTCTGTGCCTTCCCACTGTTTTTGAGAACGGGGACCTTTGGAAGGTGATCTTTTTTGCTTCAGGCCATTTTGGCTTAACAGGCAGCAGGGCCATCAAATAAAGCAGAGTTTTTCAAACTTGGCAACCTTAAGATGTGTGGACCTTAAATGTGTTGGCTAGGGAATTCTGGGAGTTGAAGCCCAGACATCATAAAAACACTGAAATAAATCAAAAGGCAGCTTTTATGAATGCATCATAGACATTATGTTTATGCTTATTTTTTAGTATTCAGGAAGAACAACAACAAATTATAGAAAGGTAGACTGTTGCAGGACAAATGAGTCTGATGACCAAGGATTTGACAATATCCTTTTAGTCTGTAGGTAAGACTGCTGGTTCACGGCAGGATGCAAAGATGAAATGAACAGTATACAGAAAGATTTCTGAATCAACAAGGACCAACGTGGCACAGAGGCACTGGAATTGGGGGCATTCAGGGTCAAGTCCCCACTCAGAGACTAAGCTTGCAGAGTAACTGTCTACCAGCTCACCATCCCTCACAGGGTGCTTTTTGTCACCCTTCCAGGGTAAACCAGATAGGAATCACAACCAGATGAGCTCATTCTACTTTATTGTAAAGCTACATGAACAGAATCTTGCAAGTCTGAAAGTACAGATCTCCCGCCGTCTCCTTCACAGCCCAAGAAACTAGGGAGGGTCCCTTCTGAGCCTCTTGCCCCATCCATTATCCAGCTGTGGGCTATGCTGTCTCTTATCTGACTGTTCCCCAGGCAGCATCTCTCTGCCTCGTCTCCCAAGGTCTTTCCCACATGCCATTACATTATTGTGAGGACAAAATAAGCATGCTGCCTTAAACTCCCAAAGGAAAAACAGGATGAAAATATATTTTATAAGATAAAGGCACTGCAATGGTGCTTGTTTCAGCTACCCATTACCAATCTACAAGCGGATAGTGTTGAGTCAATATTTCCACCACTCCCAGGGAAACGACACAGGCTGTTCACAAACAGATTCTCCAAGCATGCTAAATCGATCAATCAAGAAACATTTCAAATGACATCATTACCCTAATTATTGGAGGGGGGGATCATTTTAGGACAAGTCCCGTGATAGTATTCATCAGCAATTTAGCTTGAGATGTTCATTTAAATTCAATTTAAATCCATCTAATGCTGTATATGTGCATGCCTGTATTGATCAAATTACAAATATGGTATTGTTCTAATTTGCCTGAGTTTTGAATTAGTTTTGCCTGGAGTTTGACTTTGTGTTTGTGAACTGTATTGTACAGTCCAACATCTTGAATAAAGAAAATCTAACTTTTTTATAGAAATTGATTACTGTACGGGCTAAACACTCCAGCCAGAGGGCAGTTCACACCTATTTTAACCTTCCTTCTCGACCAGTGTTTCTCAACCTTGGGAACTTTAAGATGTGTGGACTTCAACTCCCAGAATTCCCCAGCCAGCATTAAACACTGGTCTAGAAGGTTTTTTAGTGCCATTCTATCTTGTCCAGGAGGATCTAACAGCCAATATGGGCAAGCTGGACCTGAGAAACACCAGATACCTACTGGGGAGTGAGGGTGGGACTAAACTCCCATCATCCCCAGCCAGCACAGCAACATGTGACATATTATACTTAAGTAGTGATCATGCAATGGCATTCTCTATTGTCTTTAAACATGATGAGCCAGAGGACAATACAACAAAATATACAATTCCCAAGGCATCCTATAGACCAGTGTTTCTCAACCTTGACCATTTTAAGATGGACTTCAACTCCCAGAATTCCCTAGCCAGTGTGCTGGCTGTGGAATTCTGGGAGTTGACGTCCATCCATCTTAAAAGTTGACAAGGTTGAGGAACCCTGCTTTAGATACATGGAGCTGTGTAGTAATGACCCAGATCATGGGAGTAAATGTGTGCATTCATTATTAAAAGGCCACTTAAAATCAAGCTTCCTGCAGAGGAAGAATTTCTGCTTGGTGTGTGAGAAAATATCAGTGCTGGGAAGCAACTGTTCCACCAAATTATGCAAAAGCACACAGCTGCACTGCAAGAGCCGGAAAATTCCCCCGAGACCCAAGATCACTCAAATCCCTCATTCAAAGCTCAAAAAAAGCCATGCAACTCTTTTGCCCAAGATCATATCATTGCTTATGGCTGGGGGGGGGGGGGGGAAAGAGGTTGGGGGGTGTTTTTTAGGGAAGGATTTTTTTCAGAGACATGGGGGGAGAAAGAGAATTATAGCCAAAAAGGGGGGGGGGGGGAAAGAGGTTGGGGGGTGTTTTTTAGGGAAGGATTTTTTTCAGAGACATGGGGGGAGAAAGAGAATTATAGCCAAAAAGGGGGGGGGGGGGGGAGAAAGCAGGTAGGAGCTGATTGTTAAGGAAGGATTTGTTTCAGAGACATGAGTGTAGCAAGAGAATTATAGTCCAAAAGAGGCGGGGGGGGAATCATAGCAAGCAATCCACCAAACTGTAAAAGCCTTGTGGAAAGTGCTAAACCAGGTTGGCTTTATTCCTCATTAGGAAGCCATAACTGGATGGGTCCACACAGCACAAGAAGTTACAAACAAGCAATCATGTTATGGCTTGGTGCAGCGTTTCTCGACCTCAGCAACTTTAAGACGTGTGGATATCTACTACCAGAATCCCCCAGTCAACAGGCAAAAGGGTCTGTTGTGAATCATGCAAGATACTCAGAGACCTGAAGAGCCATTTAGAAGTCTTTAGTCTTCAAAAGCTGCAAGAGATGACTTTCCTCATGCAGGCGACAGGATACAGCAATTGGGGAAGGTGGAGATAGAAGGAAACAGAGATATCTCAAACTACTTTGGAGAATATCCTTCTTTTCATATGGATGAGCAGATGGTAGCACCCAATGGTGGCTGATTTTGAAAAGCTAAGCAAGGTCAGAGATGGTTAACATAGGGATGGGAGACCACCACAAAGTTCCAGGGCTGTTGGTTAAATTGGGAAGGCCAAAACATCTTGGGGAAGGCACTGGCAAACCACATCTATACTGCTGCAAAGGAAACAGGAACACCTCCTTGAACCCAGCACAACTTCTACAGTGGTGTTTCTCAACCTTGGCAACTTTAAGATGTGTGGACTTCAACTCCCAGGATTCCTCAGCCAGCATGACTGGCTGAGGAATCCTGGGTGTTGAAGTCCACACATCTCAAAGTTGCCAACGTTGAGAAACACTGTTCTAGAGCCTTTACCTTTAATTTTCATTTCAAGAAGCCCCATTTCTGCTGTTTCTGATTTCAGAAGGAAGAGATTTCTGCCTGCTGCCATTTTATAACCTGGAGCAAGGAACTTCAGATCTACAGCTCATCAAGGGATCCCAACTAAACCCTTCTCCGCTCCCTATCCTTCTCCCCAGTGTATGCCCCCGATCTATAGAATTTCTTTATCTTCAGGGAGGCCAGACCCTTCCAGTTGTTACTTTCATGATGTATTCATTGAAAGAAAAGCTGCTGTCCTCTCAAGTCTTCTGGTTCCTGGAGATAAGCAAATGAATCCATCAGACAACAGGGAAATAATTTCACCCACACATCCAGGTGACTGATGGCTCTTTTTATTCAGTTGATCAAGCCAGATCCTTTCCGCCTTCTGAACAAAGCTAGGACCGCAAAAGCAGTAACCAAAATGGCAAATGCAGCTATCGAAGAAGCCATGATCCACATCTCGACGCTCAGCTTCTGCTGGCCTATGGAAGGACGCATGAATGGGAAATAGTCAGATTTTGAAAAGAACTACTTCTACACCATTATACTCAGTATGAATTCGTGGTGGCATACAATAAAAAGCCAAAACAATCCTAACAGACTCCCACCCAAGTAGCTCTTCCAGGAAGGAATGAAAAGCCTACCCCGTTTGGTCAAACTCTACAATCCAATGGGATTGTCCTAGATGTGTTTGGATTGGGACTCCAAGAATTCCCAAGCAATTACCATGTTGGGTTGGGGAAACCTGCTTTACCCTATGGCCACACTTCACGTGAACTCATGCCGGTATATTGGGGTATCCTCAGCAGTGGTTGAAAAAGTCAAGATGGTGCCCACAACCATGAACTCAAAGCCCTTTTTACTTTGATTGGGTGGACACCATCTTGACCTTTGGGACTCCCCATGGATGCCCCTACAAACATCCAATAAAAACTCAGAACAATCACAACCAAAACACAAAAAACAGAAATGATAATTCTTGTGTCAAAAGCTTTCATGAATTATAACTGGAAATAATTGGAATAACAAGGGCACTGAAGACAGATCTTAAATAAATGCTCCTCCAAACAGTTTGGATTTTAAGACATTTTTGTGCTTAAGTTCACACTTCTGGATTGAGGGACAAGTCAAGAGTAACAGTGGGCAAGGCCAGGTTTTAAAAACAGAGTTTCAAAAATATTCTGTAGGTGAACAAAGGTTGATATGCGTGACAGCTAAAACGAATGCAGTTGAGTCTCATCTGCTCTAAAAACCCTTTAAAATGCAGGCAATCCCCAGTTTAAGAATGAGTTCCATTCCCAAGGTCTGTCCTTATGTCGAATTTGTACTTAAGTTGGAACGGTATTATTATATAATACTGTATAAGTAATACTGCATAATGAACTTGAAACATTGTGTATTTAATTCAAATTTTGCTACAATAGGTTCTGTTCTTAACTATGGGTCATCTGTAACCCGGGTGTTGTTAACCTGGGGATTCCACTGTACTAGGAAACTGCCCAGGTTTTGACACAAAGTTGCATTGTCAGATCTCAGAGCAGGCTACTCAAACTACCCAAGGAATTCCATGCACATGTGCCTCCCAAGGGGGACAAGTGACATCATATGCCTGTGCATTATTGTGTCATCACTCATCATGTATTATGTCACTCGCATCAGTCGCGTACCGGATGCCTATGGCTCCACAGGATTGGCGAGTTGTCCACTTTA